GGAGAAGTGGGAGTTATAAAAAGTATTAGTCAGAGGCAGAAGAGGGTTGTTGAGGTGGTTGTGTCATTTAGAAGAGAAATGGATCACGTAGAATGACATGGAAAGCATATAAATCTATAGGGAAGGAAGGCGGGGTAGGGGTCGTCCTCGAGAAGGGTTGGAGAGAGTGGGGTAAAGGAGGTTTTGTGGGTAAGGGGCTTGGACCTTCCAGCAAGCGTGCGTGTGCGTGTTAGATAGGAGTGAATGGAGACGAATGGTCTTGGGACCTGACGATCTTTGGAGTGTGAGCAGGGTAAATATTTTATTTAAGGGATTCAGGGACACCGGGTTATTTTCATATAGCGGACTTGATCCTGGAAATGGTAAAGTACAATGCCGCACTTTAAAGGAGGGGTTTTGGGATATTGGCTAGTTTGTAGGATATGTTTGTGAGACTTTATATGTTTTATGGCTTCTAGACTGTTGTATTCTTAGCACACTCTGGCAAAAACAGTGATAATGGTGCGAGTGTGTGTGATAGTGTTGGAATGATGATGAAAGTATTTTCTTTTTGGGGATTTCCTTTCTTTTTTTGGGTCACCCTGCCTCGGTGGGAGACGCCGACTTGTTTAAAAAAAAAAAAAAAAAAAAAAAAAAAAAAACAATATATATAATACATATATATACATAAACCTATATATAGCATATATATACATATATATCTATATAATATATATACATATATATATCATATATATATACATATATATATATATATATACATATAGATATATTACATATATATATATATATATACATAATACATATATATATATATAACATATATATAATACATATATATAATACATAAATATAATAGTATACTATAGTATATATACATATATATATATACATATATATATATACATATATAATATACATATAAATAAATATACATATATATATAAATACATATATATTTTATAAGATACATATATAATATACATATATATATATACTTATATAATATATAACATATAATATATACATATATATATAATATACATATATATATATACATCCAATAATAATATCATATATAATATATACATATATATATATACACATAATATATATACATATAAATATACATATATATACATAAAATATAATACCATGATATATATATAACATATATATATAAACATATATATTATATATATACAATCTATATATATATATACATATATATATACATGAATATACATATATATATATATACATATATATAATACATTTATATACATATATATATATATATATATATATATATATATATATAGTATATATATAAAATATATATATATATATATATATAATATATATATATATATACAATATATATATAGATATATTATATATATATAAAACTTGTTCATCTCACACCAAAACTTTTTCTTATTTTCATCAAAGTTTCTTGGACAGTGCCTCTCCTACTCTATCATCTGCTCTCCTTTTGCACACTCTCACCAGTCCTCAACACTTTCTTTTACTCTCGCTATACCTGCTCTTCTCATAACACTTCTGCTTTGTAAACACCTCTTATAAGCTACCTTTTCTCTTTTTAACACCTCCTTTACTTTCATCTTCCACCAATCACAATCCTCTTTTCCTCCTGCACCCACCCTCCTATAGCCACAAACTTCTGCCCCACATTCTAATACTGCATTTTTAAAACTATTCCAACCCTCTTCAAGCCCCCACTACTTATACTTGCACTAGCCCACCTTTCTGCCAACAGTTGCTTATATCTCACTCTAACTTCCTCCCCCCTTATATGAGAGTCTAGTGGTACCAACACTCTTAAATGGGTGTGAAGCATGGGTTGCAAATGCTGCAAGGAGGAGGCAGCTGGAGGCAGTGGAGATGTAGTGTCTATGGGTAATGTGTAGTGTAAATACAGTAATTTGCAGAGAATTTGTAATGTGGAAATTAGGATGAAGTGTCGAGTTACTAAAAGTATTAGTCAGAGGGCTGAAGTGGGGCTGTTGAGGTGGTTTGGTCATTTAGAGAGAATGGAACAAAGTAGAATGACTTGGAGACCGTATAAATCTGTAGGAGGAGGAAGGCGGGGTAGGGGTTGTTCTCAAAAAGATTGGAGGGGGTAAAGGAGGTTTTGTGGGCGAGGGGCTTGGATTTCCAGTAAGCGTGCGTGAACGTGTTAGATAGAAGTGAAAGGAGATGAATGGTTTTTGGGACCTGACGAGCTGTTGGAGTGTGAGCAGGGTAATATTTTGTGAAGGGATTCAGGGAAACCAATTAGCTGGACTTGAGTCCTGGAAATGGGAAGTACAATGCCTGCACTTTAAAGGTGGGGTTTGGGATATTGGCAGTTTGGAGTGGCTATCTAAACTGTCATATCTGGGCACCTCTGCAATGACAGTGATTATGTATGAGTGATGGTGAAAGTGTTGAATGATAATGAAAGTTTTTTCTTTCTTTTGGGTTACTCTGCCTTGGTGGGAAATGGCCGACATGTTAAAAAAAAAATTATATAATTTTTTTTCAACAAACTGGCTGTATCCCACCAAGGCAGGGTTGCCCAAAAAGAAAACCGAAAGTTTCTCTTTTTAAATTTAGTAATTTATACAAGAGAAGGGGTTACTAGCCCCTTGCCCCAGGCATTTTAGTTGCCTCTTATGACATGCATGACTTACGGATGAAGAATTCTGTTCCATTTCCCCATGGAGATAAGAGGAAATAAACAAGGGCAAGAACTAGTAAGAAAAATAGAAGAAAACCCAGAGGGGTGTGTGTATATATATGCCTGTACATGCATGTGTAGTGTGACTCAAGTGTAAGAAGTAGCAAGATACCTGAAGCTTACATGTTTATGAGGCAGAAAAAACATACCAGCGATCCTACCATCATGTAAAAACAATTACAAGCTTTCGTTTTACACTCACCTGGCAGGACAGTAGTACCTCCCTGGGCAGCTGCTGTCTACCAACCTACTGCCGGTTAGTTGAAAGAAGTTATATACATATATAATTTATTTATTAAAACATTGGCTGTTTCCTACCAAGGCAGGGAGGTCACAACACAACAGTGTGAGGAGATTATCAAGAACAGTACTAAATGACATGGGGTAGCCTAGAAAATGAGAAGTTATACTGTACTGCTTGTAGTAATAAGAATTTACCCGCTTCCTGCCTCAAAATTTTGAACGTCGTCTCGACACAATTGTGAAGAGTGACAACCCTGAAGCTATGTGACCTGGTCACAAGCAAAACATATTTAAGAAAAGCAAGGAAATAAAAAATTTTCTTAATATTTTTTGCCATCTATTTAAATTGCTATAATTCTTTATATCGTAAAACAAGATGCACGATATATAAACTTTCTTGTACACTATGTATATAGTTTGTGATGTAAAAATTAAAAATGACTGATTCTGACAAATGCATTTATACATCACTGAAATGTATTAGGTTAATCTTTAACTGCATGGTATTTGTTTTAACCCTTTCAGGGTCCGTCCCGTAGATCTACGGCTTTACGGTGAGTGTCCAAACCGTAGATCTATGCCATGAGCTCAGCTCACTCTGATAAACTGTGAGTGGTACATTTGGGCCTAGATATGAGAGAATACATCTATGTGGTATGTGTGCACCACATAAAACAGATCCTGCAGCACAATGTGTATAATGAGAGAAAAAAACTGAAATCATGATTTTTCGATTAAAACAGCAACTTTGCAGTGTTTTTTCATGTTTTTTATAGTTGTATTTGCGATTTCTTGGTCTCATTTGATAGAATGGAAGACATATTACAAAAATAGAGATGATTTTCATTGGTTTTAAGCACTGGAAATGGCTTGAAACTGAGCTCAAAGTAGCGGAAATGTTAAATTTTTGCCGATATTCAAGAGTAAACAAACGACCTCACACGTCTAATACATGCCAGCTGGTGGGTCTAATAACATTCACAAATATGGTGATGATATTTATACAATTATTACAGTATTGCATAACAGTAAATCTTCTATTTTTTGGTGTGAATAAAAAACAAAAATGGAATTTATTTGTAAAGCCTCAAAACATAACTAATGAACAGAGGAAATGTTAGTTTAGTGCCAGGAATGCCTACATTGTTTATTCTGGACCCTATTTTGAAATTGAATATTTTGAACTTTGTGTTATAAATTGGCCAAATTACAATTTCCGATCACTTTATTTTGTAGTGGAAACAGTTGACTTGGCGATTTCTTGTGCTCAATCGATAGAATAGAAGTAATACTAGTGAAATAGCTAAGAATTTGGTTGATTGGAATAATGTAATTGGCCTAAAATGGGAGTCAAAGTCGGCAAAATCGCCGATTCGTAAACATCGCTGACACATCAAAATTCGCGAGGGCATAATTTCGTCAATTTTCCACCAAATTTCATACTTTTTGTTTTATTACCTTCACAAAAAGATTCTCTACGATTTCATAAGAAAAAATAAAAATTTTTTTTTTGAAAATTCTTGGACACTGGTGCGTGACTCCAGATTTGGGCCTTGGACCCTGAAAGGGTTAAAGAAGAAAACAATGCCATATTACTACCTTAGAAAAATTATTGCACCTAAAAATGCAAGTTAGGAAAATGTATAATCTTCACTACTGTAAACACAACAGTGATCAACTATTAGTGATTCTTTAAAATGCTGATATAAACTACCATATATATAAACTATAAAACATTCGCTACACAAGAAAAAATAATTACAACAAATGTCATGAATACTTGACCACAAGACAGTACTGAATAGCTGCAGTCTCCTTAGAGATCGAGCCAGAAGAAATGGCAAATAATGAACAATGTATAATAAAGGAACACAAGTAAATATGTTCGAAATTTGCACAGTAACACAAACAGGATGCTTCTTACCCAATAAGTTACGATTAATTTTTTACTACCAATTCTCAAATGTCGAAAACATTCCATACCTCGTATTTGAGTAAATAATACATTAGTTGCATGCATGTGAATTCACATGTATAAAGAAAATAAATATGGGCAATAATAAGCATATTCGGAAAAACTGAGCCGACTGTCCATTATTCCACGTACCAAGGGAGCACAATGTGAGCTGTAATGTTGTACCAGGACTGGCCCCAACTACCACATGGCAATGCTTTAGCAGTTATGTCTTTGGAAAAATCTCTATCTAGTGATAAAGCATTAAACTGTTTTGCTGTCTATATTTATAGAATTCAGTGCTGCGAATTATCTGTGTACTCATCATCAAGTACCACTTGAGATTTTCTGAAGGTGCAACATGTCACTCCATCATCAAGAAGCTGGGCCTCTTCATATTCTTCACTCTCCCGCTGCACAAGTCTCTCTCTGTCTCTTCTCAACCAAGACTGCAGTCTCTCAATCCACTCACAGACTCTTGCCTTAATAATATTAAACTTTGAGTCGTTACAATCTAAAATGGAATCTTCTGACTGAGACATAGTACGCACCCTTTGGAAGCTCTCGTAGCCAGACTCCAAGGAATCTTGCCTACTGCAAGTCACTCTTTGATACAAGACTCTAAATGAATAATGTACTCTTAAAATCCACATTGGTTGATCTTCTATATCCACACCCCCAGGATCTGGATTCATGGGTAGACAAGCAAACAGCTTATCAAAGACAAAGTTGCAGAACTTCTTAGTAGCTCTCCATGAGGAAAGGTTGGGTGGATGAAATGGTGGACTTGACTTTTCTCTGTACAACTGATAAGCTGTACCACATGTAAAAAGTATAATCCATAAACACAGCAAGATGATATCTGAAAAAAAATAAGGAACATTATGTATCATTCATACACAGCAGTCAAACTGCAATGCTTGACCACCTTGCATTAAGATTAGACTGGCAGCTTGGAAGGAAGTAGCATTTTTATGAATCGATTAAGACTAAAATGAGTGTAATTTGATAAAACTTAGGATTTTACATTATGTTGAAATTGGCTAAAATGTGCCAGCAACGTTTAAGTTTAACAATTTACTGATGTCAAATTATGATTGTTTTTCAATTTTATATTGTTTGTAATGTTTAACACTATGTACTGTATCCCTTAAACTGTGCATGACATATGCTACAGCATTTGTGTATGATGTATGCCATATTCCCAATTTTTCCTGCCTTCAAATATGCTGATTACCACAATTTTAGGTCTCAGGACATTTGTCTGGGTTGTCAGGCATCTCTTCAGCCCAAAGGAAAATATCGATAGCTGCTGGGTCAGCAGAGGGCACCAACTGTAAAACTGCCTCAGTCAGTTATTCTGACAGTGGCTGGCTGGAAAGTGCTGACATAATGACAATGACAAACATAATTCTAATTTGAAATGTAAACATGCCACACAGTGGACTTTGATTAACGCTGACATCGACAACTCTAATGCCACCCTGCCAACACCACACGTGACACCTGCTGCCCTGCCAACAAGTTACTCTTCTAGATGCCCTGCCAACATTACATATAGCATCATCAAAACTCCTGATACCAACAACTGTCTTGTCAACACCACATGTGACACCACAACCCTGCTAACACAAATTGTGGCACCAATAGCACACCAGACAACACCATTTGCCCTGCCAACACAAATTGTGGCACCAATGGCACACCAGACAACACCATTTGCCCTTCCAACATTACATGACACTCCACCTGATGCCTACCAACAACTGTGGCACTACCAGTACCCTTAATACCACCAGTTACTGTGCTAACCCTGCCTGTGACACCAGCTGCTCTGCCAACTTCCCCAGCCAGTGACCCCAGCAGCTGTCCTGCCAACACCACATGTGGCACCACGAACAGCAAAGATATCACCAGTTTCCCTGCCAACACTACATGTGGTACCACTAGCACTCTTGTCACCACCAGCTACCCTGCCAACACTACATGTGTCACCTTCAACAGCTCTGACACCACCAGTTGCCTCACTAATAAAGATACACAATATTACTGTAAGTGGTGCAATATGGCACTGTGCCTGTCTCTATATTTCAAAGAATATCTCACCTTGATTATTATTATAATCAAGGGGGAAGCACTAAACCCGTAGGATTATACAGCGCCTGTGGGGGGATGTGGAAGGTATCCAGGGAATTGGAGCACAGATCCAATTCCCTAGATATAGAGCCCCTCACCAGCATTAAGGAACCTTCCTTGAGGGATATTTCACCTTGAAACAATTGTAATATCATAAGAGTTCACTGTTCATAGTTGAAACACACAATAACAGTCATCAGAAATAATACAACATAGCACTGGAAAAAATTTACAGTAAATATTACTGTTGTGAATATGGTGTAATGTACTTCCCCACCTTTTCCTAGTACTAAAACACAACTATTATAAAATGTTCTATCCAGTCTTAGACATTAAAAAACAAAATAAAAAATATTACTGAAAAAGTATACATGATTACATAAAAAATAAAAAACAACCATTACTTGCTGGAATCATGACAACTGTGCCATTGCCAGGTTATTTTCTGCCAAATTCAATGCTCTGTAAGTCGGTAAGTTTTGAGCAGATTTTTTTTTCCCTTATTCTACCCAGAAAAATAAACACTTTGAAATAATAAGAAAAAATGATTTTTTATTTTTTCAAAATTGTGCCACATCACCAACACTTTTCTGTCAAGTCTGCAACTGTTTAAAGGTTAGTACTTCAAACATGGGAAAATGCATAGCTCAACATTACTCCACTCAGAATATGCAGTATAAATTGGAGCAAATATTTTTTGAAATTTTTTACTGCTTTAGTCTTCTAGCTCTTTGTACAAGGAATACCTATGACATCACAATTGTTTCAAGGAATAATAATACACCTACCATCTGACTTACGACCTGCTCGACATACGACCACTCGACTTATGACCGTGTTTTTTTATGCCAAATTTCTGGGAAATAAATTTTTTTTTGTGATGTACACAGTGTTTATCCTAAACCTTACAGTATAAAATACAGTACTAACAGCATAAAAAGTAAAGTAAAAAATGAAATACCAAAATAAAACAATAAAATAAAGTCATTACAAAAATGTGATGTTGATATTCAGTAGTAAAGTTTGACTTACGTCCATTTTAACTTATGACCAGTTGGTCAGAACCAAGCTCGGTCGTAAGTCGGATGGTAGGTGTACTCACAAAATGGAAATATGTCACATGGTTTGAGTATACTGGGTTATTGTAGGTTAATTAATTTTTTTAATACGTTGGCCGTATCCCACCAAGGCAGGGTGACCCCAAAAAAAAAGAAATAACTTTTATCATCATTCAACACTTTCACCACCATTCATACATAATCACTTTGCAGAGGCACTCAGATACTACAATTTAGATGTCTCTCCAAACTGCCAATATCCCAAACTCCTCTTTTAAAGTGCAGGCATTGTACTTCCCATTTCCAGGATTCAAGTCCGGCTAACCAGCTTCCCTGAATCCCCTATTTATATTATATATTTAGGTTTGAAGGAATATCCTAGGTTATACATGTATAAACAATATTATTTGCACGTGTCCATAATACTTGTGCATTTTTCAGACCACTATAAAATATATATTTACAAGGAAATCTTATGATATTACAATTTTCTCGAAGTGTAATGCTTATGGAAATGAGTCACATTGTTTAACTATACTGGGTTATCCTAGGTTAAAGCTACACAGTGTGTTTTTGGCTGAATTCCACTGTTAGTATTATGGAATTGTAATAAATTTGAAATAAGGCATCTTCCTGGAAGTTGCACACCCTTTTTGCTGGTAGGGAAGCTGGTGGTGGAACAAGAGGTCCTGGTTTCATTGTTTGCTGATGTTAGTTATGCAGTACTACTCATGATGCACTTCATGGACCTGCCTGGTCTTTAGATTTTTTCAAAGGCATGAAAAGGTTGTAGGGGACTCAAGCAGTTAAGGTGAGGTCAAATGGGCATTAAGCAGTCTTTGAAGTGAAGCAAGGAGGTAGTTGAAGGCAGTGCAAACCATGTCTGAGATCACTGTGTAGTGCGAGTAGTATGCAGAAAATAAGGAATGAAGTAATTAAAAGATGGTAAGATGATTTGAAAAGTATAACTCAAAGAGCAGAAGGGGGGTTATTGAGATGGTTTAGCCATGCACAAAGAATGAAGTAAAATAGCCTCAAGTGAGTGTACAAGTCTTGGGTGGATGGTAAGAGGTGTAGAAGATATCCAAGGAAGTACAGAGGCTTGAAACTTTAGCAGGTACGTGTGTTATATAGGAATGAGTGGGGGCAGGAGATATAATATGCTGTTGGGATGCAAATATTGTAATATCTATGAAAGGATCCAGGGATCTGGACTTAAGTTTTGAACATAAGTCAATAGTGGATGAGGACTTTCTGATAAAGCAGCTACAGGGTGAGTGAAAGTGTTTTTATGTTTTATCACAAGTGAACTATGAGAGAGAGAGGTAGGCAGAGAAGACATATCTATTGTTGTTGCCTATACAATGCAGCACATTTAATTGCAACAAGCACAAAATGCAGGCAAACAGAAAACCAACAAGTGACCATTACAATGCAGTCTATTAACTGCTTGCAATAAACATTAAAACACATATCTATTGATACCAGTACAATGTAATAGCCTACCATTCTTTGCAGTTTATGATTACACTATACACAGCATCTTACTCAGTTACTCATTTCTGATGATCCGTCTCCATTCTTCAATGCTCCCTTAGTGAACAATACAGTAATAACATGCAACCTATTTAATTCTTTTCATACTCACCACAGACTTGAAATGGAGGGTATCCCACAGCTGCTGAGTAGTTCACCACAGTCATGAGTCCAATTACATTAATCACTATATATGTTAGAGATGATCCAAAATAAAATGCAAAAGGAACTATAAATGCATAAGAACCCAGCAATGTACAGGAGAAAATGTGAACCTGAAAAAAAAAATGCTTAACATTTAGCTAAATGTAATGCAAAAAATTATATCATACAATATAATTTTTTTTAATGCACTGTACATCTCCCACCGAGGCAGGGTGACCTAAAAAGAAAAACGAAAGTTTTCTTTTTACATTTAGTAATTTATACAGGAGATGTTACTATCCCCTTGCTCCTGGCATATCAGTCACCTCTTGTGACATGCATGGCACAATATAAAGTTTTATTAATATAACACCAGTATGAGAGAATTACAATGCTTCATTTATTATGACATGTATGATGTAAATGAAAAATTATTCATGGTAATATTCATGACTGACTGCTTTTAAGCTATTAAAATACAGATTATTCCCCTGACATGCACAAATTAAAGGTACTGTATTTTATTTAGGGGCTATTATTTGTATACTCATATGGGTTTTCAATTTACTTAAATAGATAAATTTACATGTAAAAAAGACAAATGAAGACCAGTATTGTATTTAGAAGATTTTATGTGACATTACAGAAAATTACCTTTTTAATATCAACAATGGAATAGGCAATGATGATCACTGCAAAGAAGACAGGAAACACCACAAATGCTGAAAGGTTTGTGGTTTTGGGTGCAATGGCATCTGGAAAAAATGTATATTCCAAGGGGTGGGTATTAAATTAAAAACACACACAGGCAGTAAAACTTATGGAAAATTATATCGTCATAAAGATTAAATATACAGGTAATGCAATTAGGTAATCAAATAATAAAGAGTAATAATTAAATTCACTATCAGGTAAAACAGAGTGGATTTTTATATTACATATTTACCAATACAGTAGTACTAACATCTGAGGAAATAAGTGATAATCATCCCTACAAAGATGACGGCCATGACAATAATCAGCAAGGATGAGTGGAAGGGTCGCTGGAACTTGTGCCAACCTATGAGCCACAATACACCACCAGCTAGGGCTCCAACTAAAGTACCCCATTCCAGGGCTGAAAAACAGTAAAGATAACCTCACTGTATTTGCATCTCTCCTGAAACTCACAGACTGACTCTGATAATATATTTTTATTTAGAACAGGAACTGAACAAGTTTTGACATCTCTTGTTGTTTGAACATAACCACTTGACAAGACTAAAGTATTAACATTTTCATGAGAAAGCACTAAACCCACAGGAGTTGTACAGTGCCTGGGAAATGGGAGGCAATAAGATTTGATCCAAGGAAAGGGAAGGTAATTTTCAATTCCCTGGATCAAGAGTCTTTTGCCAGCATTGGGGCTCTCCTCTCTCCTGGAGGGCTGCAAGGCTAAAACACTAATCTCTTTTAACCCCTTGACTGTCGCAACCCCAAATCCTGAGGTGTCTCCTGGTGTCAAAAAAAAAAAAAAAAAAAAAATGAAATGATAGAGAATCTTTTCCCGATTGTAATGACATAAAAAGAACATAATTTGATGGAAAACTGGTGGAATTACACTCTCGCGAAGTTAGTGACCTCGGCGATATTTACGAATCGGCGATTTCACCCACTTTGAGCCCTATTTTCAGCTAATTCCATTGTTCCAGTCAACCAAACTCATAGCTATTTCTTTAGAATTCCATTTTTTCTATCGACTGAGTACAAGAAACTGCCCATTTACCGATTTCAACTACCCAATAACGTGGTCAGAAATTTGCAATTTGGACAGTTTCACGAAAATTAAAAAATATGAGAATTTCAAAATAGGGTCCAGAATGAACAATGCAATCATTTCTGGCTCTAAAATAACATTTTCTTTGTTCATCAGTCATGTCTCCAAGCCCCTCTGATATTACTCTTGCTTTCTAATTTGAATTTTTATTCAAACCGAAAATAGAAGATTTACTGTTATGCAGACTACTGCAATATTGTAATAATTGTATAAATAATGTCAACCCATTCATGACTGCATATTAGAATGGCTACTTGGACATTTATTGGAAAATGACATCATTTGTTTACTTTTGAACATCGGCAAAAATCAAACCTTTCCCCTACTTTGAGCTCCATTTCAAGGCTCTTTTCATAGTAAAACCAATCAAAATCACCTCTATTTCTATAATATGTTTTCCTTTCTTTTAAATGAGACCAAGAAAAAAAGAATACAACCATAAATACTATACGAAAATAGACCACAAAGTCGGCATTTTAATTAAAAAAAAAATGGTCTTTTTTTTTTATTATGCACTGCATGCTGCAGGATTTTTTTTATATGATGCACACTGACCAAACAGACCCATTCTCTCACATATGGGCCTACCAGCTTTTTCCTGCTTGATGTGAAGCCGCTAGAATTTATGAGTATATATATGTCAAAAACTGTGGCTTGTAAGAAGTATATATACGACCAAAACAGTCAAAGGGTTAAAAGTTATGAAGATTTTGCATAAAAATTAAAATAAAAGAAATTATATGAAGGAGAAAAACTTAAGTAAACTAACCAATGATATTGCTGGTTGTGCCTTGTGCACATAAGAGGAAAAAGACACACCAGAAGAAAAGGAAGCCAGAGGTGAACATGGTGAAATTCAACCACCGGTGACCCAGGAAAAGCAGTATACCTCCAATGAAGAGCAGCGATGCACAGAACAACTTTGCCATTGGAGTTACTGTTAGGAACACAGACAAATGTAAAATACTACATGTTTAATGCACAGGTACCTAATCAAGATAATGATGACCAAGATATAGATTAATTTTCAGAGAATATTTTTTTTAACACATCAGCCATCTCCCACTGAGGTAAGGTGACCCAAAAAAAGAAGAAATGCTGGACTAATGTTGGCATGCCAGAGGTATGCCAACATTAGTCCTTTCACTGTCCTGACCCTTGAAATTAACACTGCTCTCAGTTTAACAAAAAAAGAACTGTAGTGATAGAGTCTTTTCTGAAGGTAATGACACCAAAACTAAGAAATTTGATGGAAAACTTATGGATAATATTATACAGGCTCTTGATACAATTTATGCATCAGTGATTTTGTCCAATTCGAGTCCTATTTTGAGCCATTTCTGTTGTTCCATTCAACCAAATTCTTAGCTATTTTGCTAGAATGCCTTTTGTTCTATCAACTGAGCACAAGAAACTGAGCCAGCATGAAGGTTCCTTGACACTGACTCATTGATGCTGGTGAGGGACTCTTGATCTAGGGAATTGGATCTGTGCTCCAGTTCCCTAAATTAATAAAAAAATAACAGTAAAATAATAATAATAATAATAATAATAATAATAATAATAATAATGATGAGCTTCAGAATGCCGCCAACTCATTGCATCATTTATCTAGCCAACTCATTGCACTGTTTACCTCGAGGATGATGTCCATGGAATTAAAGCATGAAATCATAGATAAACAAGCAAAGTGTGTGGGTTGTAGGTTGAAAGGGAAGCTCGCTCATAACTCGGATGTTGGCTCGTAACTCAGAGCAGAAAATCAACCGAGTGACTGCTCGTATTTCAAAAAACTTGTATGGTGGGGCACTCGTAAGTCGAGGTTCCACTGTACTAAAATTTTTCCATTACAGTACAGTATAAAGAAATATTAAATAAAATATTTCTTACATCTTCGGAAACCACTATTCAAATGCTTACTGAAAGAATACATAACAGAACTCCTGCTGTAGCTCTTCTGTAGCCATATCCAAAGTGCAACTCAGTGCAGTAATAAGCATACATTACACTTCACCAAGTTCAATTACTAATTTCTGGCATATTGCATGTACATACAATGAAAGATTTCTTGCCATTTTTAATTTTATATTCTGGAAATCTATTATCCTATCAAAATACTATTTTACAACTAATTACCATATTTTCTGGTACGTAAGGCCCATGACAAAAATATCAATGGTAAATCAATAATCACATTCAACCGCTAATCACCCTCTTACTTTACAATGAAGCATAACCCAAAGCCTACCCTTGTCCCCTGACCTTGAGCCTATACAGTGCAAGGTGATTTTCCAAGACTTTTTGCGGGAAAAAAAGGTGTACCTTATATGCCAGAAAATGTGGTACTGTTTTTTTATATTGTGGAAATATAATTTGTTCAGGAATTTTCAAATGGTTAAAATCTATTAGTCACTAACCAAGTTTTGTACATCTGTACTCTTCTGCCTCAATGAAATCACAACCATAGGAGACAGCAGATGAGTAGAGTGTGCCATGAGAGTTATTGTACGATACAACGACAGTGATCACAGCCCCAACCCCAGAGTAGGAAACAAACCAATTGTTCAGCTGTTCAGCTGTATTGTTCTCTGCTGCTGCTACCTGTTAAAGCATGAAATACATCTTAAAATCTACTATACTAGAACTGCAACAATTACATAAGTTAGCAATACCTGAATGCTGTAACAGTCAAAGACAGAGTAAAAGCACTAATGGCATATTGATTACGTACTGAACTGTCTTTATGGTGATATTATCACTCACAAGACAAGTGCCTCTGCCCAATAAAATTGCCCCTCCAGTCAAAAACCTGAAGTTTATGTAGATGAGTGAGCGTGAAGAAATTTTTTTTAGAAAAGTGTGTAAAAGAAAGACAACAGTAAATGCAAAAAAAAAAAAAAAAAAAAAAAAACAGGATAAGAATATGTAGAAATAAAGAAAATAAAAAATTAGATCTTAGAGTGGAAAGAAGGTGTACAGGGAAAGTGAATATTGTACATTTAGACACCTGGAAGTGAATGTATAAGATGGGTCTATGAATGGTAAGATAAATAACATTAAAAGTTACCAAAAATGAAGATGAAGGAGTATTAAGGAATCTGTAGAAGGAAAAAAGCATTAGTGGAGGAAAAAAAAAAAAAATGCATCAAAGAACAGTGATCTTTAAATGTTGTAGAGAGGGGGCTGGAAGCAGGATAATCTTTTGTCAGAGATCAGTGTGTAGCATAAATATTATGAGGAATTAAAATCAATAGTGTGGTGAAAGGAAAAGCAGATAACGAGAAGATAAGAAGATTTGGTCATGTAAAAAGAGTGGATCAAGATACAGGATCAAGAGGGTGCACAAATATATGGTGAATGTATGAAGATGGCAAAGTTCTGAGGAGGGTTGGAAGAAGGGTGTAAATGAGGTATGCATTAAGAGGTAGAGGCTTGAACATTCAACAACTATTAATAAGCATGCTAGATTAGACTGGAAGCAAGTGACCTTTGGGATTTAGTGTGCTGTTGGGGTGTCAGCAAGAAACTACCTATTTATGTATTCAGAAACAGTGAATGACCAGGCCAAACTTCTGGAGGTGGGAGGTATGGTATCTACCTTTCTCTGAAAGTTGGGTGGGAATGTTGTGATTCACTAAGTCAACATTGTACCATGATGTGTGACTTAAAAAAAAAAAATGCTAAGGTATAAGAGATGGTTTTTTACTTCTTTGTATCACTAAACCTTGATGGTAAATAACCTATTTTGCTAAAAAATATGATTACCATATACACTATAATGGTCTTAATTAGTTATAATGATAGTGATTATAAGTACAGTGGAACCTCAGTTTTCATCTTTAATTCACTCCAGAGAGTCTGACAAAAAAACGAATTCGACAAAAACTGAAGCAATATTTCCCATAAGAAATAATGCAAATCCAATTAATCCATTCCAGACCCAAAAATATCAACAAAAAATACATTTTACAGAGAATAACTATAGTTTTACATACAGAAAACAATGAGAAATAAATATAAAGCACTAATGAAATGGATAAATGAACATTTAACTCACTTTTAGCTTTATTGAAGACTCTTGTTGGTGTATGGAAGATAGTGAGAAGGGGAGAGGGAGGAGAGGTTATCTCTAGCACCATCACTACCACCCTCTACCACCATCATTACCACCTTCTACCACCATCACTACCACCCTCTACCACAATCATTACCACCCTCTACCACCATCATTACCACCCTCTACCACCATCATTACCACCCTCTACCACCATCACAACCATTACCACCCTCTACCATCATCACTACCACCCTCTACCACCACTGAATTCTATCACATTTCTCGCCTTCTTTATCAAAGGGCTGGCACTCGAAACTTTCTTCAGCCCCATGGTTGCTTATTTAGCAGTCGCGCTCAATAAACAAGCACAAAAAACAATGGATTATTACGAATTGTTTTGTATGAATGCACAGGGTAATGTTCACTCGACACGAAACAAAGCCAGACTGACCCAGAATGCGTGCATGGAATGCTTTGTGTGGGCATGGGCAGACAGACACATTCGGTATGGCGGATGAGAACCGAGGTAAATGAATGAAAACTGGGACAATATTTTGAGGAAAAAAGTAATTGAAAACCGAATTCGACGAAAACCAGGGCAAATGAAAACTGAGGTTCCACCGTACATATAATTACTAGAAAGTATATAAAATCTCTATCATCTAGTGATTATATCATCTGTTACAGTATAATCATTTCATTTGCTTATAGCTAACATTCGTCTATAATGGTTATGTTTCTGTGTTGGTTATGCACACTAATAATTATCTACATGCAGATCTGAAATTATTTTTATAAATATTTGAATCTGAATGCTTTTATAATATTTATTCATAGAGATTGTGAGTAGCGTAACAACCATTGGTGATGACGATAAAGATCATAATTTGTAGTGTGCCAAAGTGTCAGTAAAGATATCAGTGGGTATCAGTTAATTTTCATGGTATTCATATCGGCCTAAAGGCAAGTATCAGTATCAGCAAAATTTTGATAATGTCCTATCACTAATTATACTGATTACCAATAATCTAAATGATTATCTACAATCAATATGCTGTACATAAGTATCTACCTAAGTGAGAAACATAATATTTCCCCAAAATGTGCAGGGTGAGCACAATGGCAAAAGAAAGCCATCACTGTTGGTGCCGTACAACAGTTCTAGTTAAAAAAGTTAGCTAGAATCTTCATTGAAAGTGGGACTAGGAGAGGCGAGTAGACAATAAATACCTGTATGTCAGGGTATCAAAGTACAAGTCGAAAATAAAGTCACCAAATTACTTTGGACTGCCAGAATGACTTGACATTTTTGCACCTTCACTGAATGTCTCTCCATGATGCAACCATGTGCAAGCCTGGTGACCAATACTCAGTTGTCAGAGTACAGTATCCAATAACTAATACAGGTAGGCCATCACTAATCTGGCAGTCAGTTAACCGGTTCCATCAGTAATCCAGCACTAATTTCAGCTAGCATAATTTCAAATTTCATCATTATATCGACTCAGAAATTGTGCAGATGGTTGTAAATAGACAGCAGCAAGCCAGTGGAGGAGAAAGCAGTGATGAAAATGAGGAAGATGTAGCAGATCTCTAATGATAGGTTCAACTGTAATTCAGCAAGCTTGCTGGTCACTACTATTGATCAGTGACACTACCAACTATATTTTAAGTGCTGTGATATTAAAGGAAAGTTCAGCTTGAAAAAGGAATGTCCTGAATTTTGGAAAGTTCCCTGAACACAAGAATAGCAAGGGACCTAGCAATAGATGACCCTTAGGAAGATGGGAGGATGTGTAGAATCACTTTCAATGTCTGCAAAGATGAGGCAAGCATTGTAACAAAGTGGATTACAACAGCAAGAACTGTTCATCCTGCTGTGAAAATACTAGCTAGCTGTGGCAGTCAACCTTGGATTTCACAATAAGAAAAAAAAAAAACCATCACAATGGAGGCTATGGAGCTGTAATATCTGAAAAGTACAATGAGCTTGAATAGAAATGATCAAGGAAGAAAGAGAAAGAGCCAAAGCAGAGAGCGAGACTTCAGGAATGCGAGGTGAAGAGCAAGCTTGGATGATTAAGGCTTCCCAAGGTGGGAGGGAGAAATAAGAGATAAGAACAGAAGGATGAGATAGATCAAGGACCTCTACATGGGTTTGTAGGTATAAAGTCAAGGAATGCAATAGAGACAATGATTAAAATTGTTAGAACTATTACTGTAATTTCAGAGAATTCCATAGGTTGCAGTATTATTAGGGCTATGTGAACAAACAAGATAATAGGTCTTGAAAATCCCACAATGAATGTAATACTTAAATGGCATAAACCAATCTCTTAATGAAAAAGTAATAAATAAAATTTAATTCCACTCACAGATTTAGCATTTTCCCTGAGTCCTTGAAGAGTACTTGTGGCAATCAGCATGTTCCAGTATTTCTTCTCACTCAAGTCCCTCTCATACATATAAGCAAGAAAGGTTTCATACTTGAGTTGACCGTCTGCGAGTGAATGGCCTAAATCAGGATAGGAAGCAGCACGGTAGGTGACCTTTGTTGTTAGGATGTTGGGTTCCATTACCAGATAAGGTTGAGTGAGGTTGTGTGGAGCCTTATAATTACCAGGAATTGGCTCTGTATTTAAAAAAAATATTTATGTGGTGGAGACTGTAATGAACTGTGTTCTGTTTTGCAGATCAATTATTATTCATGAATATTTCCTTTAAAAATGGCTTTTAAAAATTTTATATTTTAGTTTCATAACTCTCAAACCTAGCATGTAATTTAGCGGGAACAAAGTATTAAGATATTAATTAAACATCTCACTGGAAGCTGCAACATCCTATTCCATAAGACTTAGTTTCTTGGACTCAACACAAACTAAAAAGGTATCCTGATACATGAAATAGTAACATCACCCAACATAGGTGATGTTACCAAATGACCACTTTTAAACACTGTTACTACTGCACAATCATGGCACTCACTTCTAGACTGCTGCACTCAAAAGTATAGTACTGTAGTACTTACATAATCTGGCAAAACAAAATGAAGTTCATACCCTACATAAATGAATATTCAAACATCCGGTATCAGACACCTGAATAGAAAATTAAATACAGTTACAATAAAAAGCATTAAAATCTATGTTAAGGAATATTATGCCCAAGAAAAAATAATTATGCTACAATAGAAAATATAACTAACCATATATCTAGTCTACATAAATAGCATTTTCATTTCTTCTTTTTTAATACACCAATCATCTCCCAATGAAGTATGGCGACCCTAAGAAGAAACACTTTCATTATCATTCACTATCACTGTCTTGCCAGAGGCATGCCAACATTACAGCTCAGTTGCCCCTCCAAACTGCAATATCCTCACCCCTCCTTCAGCATGCTTGCACCATACTTCCCACCTTCATGACAAGTCCAGCTAACCAGCTTCCCTGAATCCCTTCTTGAATTTTACCTTTTTTACACTCCAAAAGCATGTTGTCATGAAAACCACTTGCCTCTACTCACTCCTATCTAATACACACCCATGCCTGTTGGATGTCCCAGCCCTCACAAACCCTCTCCCTCCAACTTTTCCTAAGATGACCCATTCCCCCTCCTTCCCTCAACTACAGATATATACAGTAGGGCCCCCACTTTACGGTGTTTTGCCTTACAGAGTTCCGCTAATATGGCGATTTCAAATTATGACAATCTCTCTATATGGCTTCCCATCTTTCTAATATGGCGTGCGCCACCCGGTTTGTTTACATTCTTCGTGAGCACCGCGTCTGTCCATTATGTTTGGAAACTTTCCAAAATTTCACATGTTTTAAAGTTATTTTATATATTATATTTTTTTTTATTATCACACTGGCCGATTCCCACCAAGGCAGGGTGGCCCGAAAAAGAAAAACTTTCACCATCATTCACTCCATCACTGTCTTGCCAGAAGGGTGCTTTACACTACAGTTTTTAAACTGCAACATTAGCACCCCTCCTTCAGAGTGCAGGCACTGTACTTCCCATCTCCAGGACTCAAGTCCGGGCCTGCCGGTTTCCCTGAATCCCTTCAAAAATGTTACTTTGCTAAACACTCCAACAGCACGTCAAGTTTTAAAAACCATTTGTCTCCATTCACTCCTATCAAACACGCTCACGCATGCCTGCGGGAAAGTCCAAGCCCCTCGCACACAAAACCTCCTTTACCCCCCCTCCAACCCTTCCTAGGCCGACCCCTACCCCGCCTTCCTTCCACTACAGACTGATACATCTTGGGAAATCATTTTGTTTCGCTCCATTCTCTCTACATGTCTGAACCACCTCAACAACCCTTCCTCAGCCCTCTGGACAACAGTTTTGGTAATCCCGCACCCCTCCTAACTTCCAAACTACGAATTCTCTGCATTTTATTCACACCCACACATTGCCCTCAGACATGACATCTCCACGCCTCCAGCCTTCTCCTCGCTGCAACATTCATCACCCACGCTTCACACCCCATATAAGAGCGTTGGTAAAACTATACTCTCATACATTCCCCTCTTTGCCTCCAAGGACAAAATTCTTTGTCTCCACAGACTCCTAAGTGCAAACCCCTCACTCTTTTTCCCTCATCAATTCTATGATTCACCTCATCTTTCATAGACCCATCCGCTGACACGTCCACTCCCAAAATCTGAATACGTTTAAACCTCCTCCATACTCTCTCCCTCCAATCTGATATTCAATCTTTCATCACCTAATCTTTTTGTTATCCTCATAACCTTACTCTTTCCTGTATTCACCTTTAATTTCTTCTTTTGCACACCCTACCAAATTCATCCACCCAATCTCTGCAGCTTCTCTTCAGAATCTCCCAAGAGCACAGTGTCATCAGCAAAGAGCAGCTGTGACAACTCCCACTTTTTGTGTGATTCTTTAACTTTTAACTCCACGCCTCTTGCCAAGACCCCCGCATTTACTTCTCTTACAACCCCATCTATAAATATATTAAACAACCACGGTGACATCACACATCCTTGTCAAAGGGCCTACTTTTACGGGGAAAAAAATTTCCCTCTTTCCTACATACTCTAACTTGAGCCTCACTATCCTCGTAAAAACTCTTCACTGCTTTCAGTAACCTACCTCCTACACCATACACTTGCAACATCTGCCACATTGCCCCCCAAATCCACCCTGTCAAAATGCCTTTTCCAAATCCATAAATGCCACAAAGACCTCTTTAGCCTTATCTAAATACTGTTCACTTATATGTTTCACTGTAAACACCTGGGCCACACACCCCCTACCTTTCCTAAAGCCTCCTTGTTCATCTGCTATCCTATTCTCCGTCTTACTCTTAATTCTTTCAATTATAACTCTACCATACACTTTACCAGGTACTCCCAACAGACTTATCCCCCTATAATTTTTGCACTCTCTTTTATCCCCTTTGCCTTTATACAAAGGAACTATGCATGCTCCCCTGCCAATCCCTAGGTACCTTTCCCTCTTCCATACATTTATTAAATAATTGCACCAACCACTCCAAAACTATATCCCCACCTGCTTTTAACATTTCTATCTTTTTCCCATCAATCCCCGGGTGCCTTACCCCCTTTCATTTTACCTACTGCCTCACGAACTTCCCCCACACTCACAACTGGCTCTTCCTCACTCCTACAAGATGTTATTCCTCCTTGCCCTATACACGAAATCACAGCTTCCCTATCTTCATCAACATTTAACAATTCCTCAAAATATTCCCTCCATCTTCCCAATACCTCTAACTCTCCATTTAATAACTCTCCTCTCCAATTTTATATATACTCTGATAATTATACTCATGTGTACCTGTACCTAAGTAAACTTACACACTGTGCTGGCATGCAGGTACACATTAAAATCACTAACAGTGTTTTATTAGTCTTGAAGATGTCATATTAATAATGATAATAATAACACACAATAATAATCACTCTGAGGAGCATTAACCCTTTGACTGTCGCAAGCCCTTTTCTGAAACTCATTTTATGTCGAAAAAGTTTCGGAAAAAAAAAATTATTTGTTCTTATGAAATGATAGAGAATCTTTTCCTGATGGTAATGATACCAAAAGTACGAAATTTTATCGAAAACTTATGGAATTATGCTCCCGCGTTAGCAATCTCTGCGATATATACGCATCAGCGAATTCGCCATTTGAGCCCTATTTTTGGCCAATTCCATTACTCCAGCCGACCAAACTCATAGTTATTTCTTTAGAACTCAATTTTTTCTATCAATTGATTACAAGAAACTGCCCATTTACTGATTTCAACTACCTAATAAAGTGGCCAGAAATTGGCAATTTGGCCAATTTCACGTAAATTAAAAAAGATGCCAATTTCAAAATAGGGTCCAGAATAAACGATGCAGACATTCTTGGCACTAAAATAACATATCCTCTGTTCATTAGTCATGTCTCTAGGCCCCACTTATATTACTCTTGCTTTCTATTTTGATTTTTGATTCACACAAAAAATAGAAGATTTACTGTTATGCAGACTACTGCATTACAGTAAAAATGATATAAATAATATCAGTGCACTAGTGAAATAATATTAGACTCCTCTGTTGACATGTATTGGACGTGTGGTGTGATTTGCTTACTCTTGAAAAACATATTATCTGTTATCAAACTTATTTCTATACAATTTTCAATTAAAGGCAACTCATTATCACTTTACCCTGGCACCCCAAACTTACCTTCTATGCTTTTTGCAACATCTTGAAAATCTCTATCTAATAAATAAATCTCTCTCTCCCTCTTTCTCTCCCTCTCTCTTTCTCTCCCCCTCTCTTTTTCTCTCTAGAAAGTGCATAACACTAAATATGCCCCACTTTTTGCATCCCACCTTTATTTTAATCTGCATAATCCTTTAATTTATACATTTATATTCCCACTTTTCCTTCCAGTGTCACGAGGTTGAGAGGCTTTTTGTAAGAGCCACTAGTGTCACACCCATAAAGGCTGTACTTCATACTCTTTGACAAGTGGGTGTCACACCTACATGTCACAAGGGAACATTGTACAATCTGGTATTTCCTAGATGTACATGAAAATTGTCAAACCTGTCACTCATCAAGCCATTAACTTTTCCACTCACTCCCCCCCCCCCCAACACACACAGCTGCTGCTTTCATATCAGTTATTTCTATAGCAAACCAATTTTTCTTTTGTTTCACTGTCATTTATTCGTTCTTCCTTTACCAATTATTTCATTACATTGCAATACTGCAGTTTCATTAATGAGCTCTTTTCATTTTGTTGGTCACCTTTAAGCTCACTCTCAAAATAACCTTACAGTATCTACTTCCATAAACCATCATTCTAACTACATGTACATCTTGCTCTCTTCTTAGATTACAGTACTGTACAGATAAGCTCCTAAATTGATGCATTTGGATTATCCAACATTTTTATTGAAGGACTCACAAATAGCTTAATCACCTACTTTTGTGCAATGCCTAATTTTTGGGCTTGGTGCAATTCCTAATTTGAAAGCCACCCATAGACTTTCATTCACAATGTGCTCCATGAATTTCCCAAATGCAAATCTGCCTTTTTTTCTGGACATTTTTTTTTTTTATGAAAGTTAATATGAATCACACTAGAGCAACATATATGGCCTATGAAACACAAAACGAGCCAAAATAAAAAAAATTATATAAAAATAATTAATTTAGTTATATTTGCAAATTCTGAAATACCAAGAATATCTAGAAATGTAACCCTAATGAATTTATGGGTTCAACTGAATTTCCATATGCCATCATTCTTACCAAGTACAGTATCTCACTTGACTTTAATGTGTATTCTTTGACTTCTAATGCAGTATATAGTGCATTTTTCTCTTAAATGAACTGCCAATAAGCAATTTATGCAATAATCTCTCTCTCACACACACTCACACACACACACACACACACACACACACACACACACACACACACACACACACACACACACACACACACACACGAGAACAAGCAAGAGCACAACCTACCATCACTACTGTAATTCCGCACCATGAATAAGACAGTAATATTTTTATTGTGACAGTTGGTGAGAAACACGTGACATGTTTGTTTGTATGAGGGATTTGATGAGCTGTTCAGATGAACCATCAGTCCTGGGCTAGTGCTATTGACATAATTACCCGGAGTTGGCGTTCTGAAAGATAATTGAAAAAGAAAGGTGATAAACCTCAACTCTTGCTTCATTGCAGCTTCAACTGTATAACTTTATTAGTTGTAGTCCTAGTTTAAATCTTCCCAAAATGCAATATATAATTCTGGGTTTTTCTTATAGGGGTACAGTTAACCCATCCATTACACTAATCAGTATGTACCTTTTTTTTTGGAAAATAAAACATTTATGTATATTCAGATTTTTATTATCCATCGGCATTCCAGTGATAAACCTGTTTTACAAAACAAGCCTAGTGCACAAACAGCCAGTGTAGCCAAAGGCAGTTGCAAAGACTGCAACTGCCACAAAAAGAAAAGTCTGCTCTCAGAGGGGTCTCTGGTGGTAATAGTGAATGAAGAGCATATGGATGAGCTCAAAGGTATGCATCTCATTCTGGCACCTGTACTAAAATGGTGGACAACTGTGCCCTTGCCGGGGCATTACTTGGTAAGCGATTCATAGGCAAACCTCTCTAACTCTCAATGAGTAAGTATACATTAAGTCTCATTAAGATAACCCCATTAGTTTATATAATTTATACTTTCTATATAAATGTATGAGAAATCAGAAAATAAAATCTTTGCACATATGATAAACTAATCAAAGAATGGGTGGAGCTTGAACCCAAAGCAAGCAAGTCCTCAAACTAGCAGGCCAGTGTGCTATCCACTGGTCCATGCCAGTGTAACAAGATTCATCCAACTAGGTATGCTGTATAGAAATAGGAATGTTAGCATGGACTCCACTGTGACCACAAATACATTTGTGGTCATAGTGGGGCCAATGCTGTATAGAAATGTATCTAGTTGCATGAATCTTGTTAGCCAACATGGTCTAGTGGTTAGCACATTGGCCTACCAATTTTGGGACTAGTCTGCCATGGTTTCGAGCCCAACCTAAACTGTAGTTGATTTACAATCATGTTACGATTTTGCGAGTCATGATAAACTGATAGTTTGTGGGATAAAAGGGTATGGGAGGCAAAAAACAGGCTCTCTTGAAAAATCTATTTCTATCAAAATGGCATTAATTAGTTAGACACACATTTTATTCTTACAGGTTAACATTTTTCTTACTCTGCAGTTAAAACTACTGCAACAAAAAAAGTACTGAAGCCAATTTTCAGCAGACGGGCAAACTTTCTGTTGTACAGGAGGCCTTCCACATTCGCGAGGGTTAGGGGATCAAGAACCTCGTGAATCTTGAAAATTCGTGAATTTCTGGTGCACACATATATTGTAAGGAAATATAATAATAGCATTTACTTAGCCTAAGAATACTGCTTCCTTAACATAGCTATTGAACCATGAACAATCATAAAATTCATGAACACATCGAAAAATATTGTATATACATGTTATGGTTTAATAACAAACAAGGCTTGGAATTTGCGAATGTTCAAAGCTTGCGAAAGTGGAGGGCTAGCTGCATAGCTGTCGATTTTGGTCGTCCATTTTAGCACTAACCCTCATTTGTTCCTTATTTTACAATAAACATTTTTTTTCTTATCTGTGGCTTCCACTCATGCCAGAGTGCCAACAGGTTGTCTGGTTCATTCTCTCTACCTCCCCTGACTGTTTTTTGTATTTGTTTGTTCTTCTGTCTCTGAAGAGTCAGATAAACCATTTTGGGTGGGACAAAAGATGGGCCCAGGCCCAAAAACCCCAGGTCCCAGAAAAACCTATTTCTACCCCAAAACCCTTTAAGGTGGTCCGGGACCCCAAACTTTATGTCCTTACAGGCAAACCTTTTGCTTACCCAGGTAAAACTAGTCCCCAACCCCAAAAACTACTGTGGGCCCAAAACCCTTCGAGTGCCCCGGCCCAAAACTTCTGTTGGGGGAACGGGACCCCACTGTCGGTGGCCAGGACAAAACCCACTGAATTGGGGGCCCAACCCAAACCCATGATTTCCCGGACCCCAGAATAATAGGGTGGAGGAAATAAACCACTAGTGCTTAGCCAAAGAAACCTTCTGTGAGGCCTATTGAACCCAGAAACCATCATATTCCCAGAACCCAGAAAACACCACTGATGTGCCAGAGAATACAAAACCTTGAATGGTCCCCGAAGAAACTTCGAAGTGGGGGCCGACATAGCTCGATTTGGGCCCAGGAGCACAGAACCCTCATGATGTGCCCATTTTACAAAAACCTTTGTTGGTGCGATCTGTGCCCACTGATGGAGTGCCAACCCCAGCCTGAGGGTTTGCCCACCCAAAACCCCTGATGGTGTTTTTGTTCCTGACCCAGAAACCTGATGTCGGCCAGAAAACCCTTTGATGGTGGCCCAGGACCCAGAAACCCTTTGATGGTGGCCCAGGACCCAGAAACCCTTTGATGGTGCCCAGGACCCAGAAACCCTTTGATGGTGGCCCAGGACCCAGAAACCCTTTGATGGTGGCCCAGGACCCAGAAACCCTTTGATGGTGGCCCAGGACCCAGAAACCCTTTGATGGTGGCCCAGGACCCAGAAACCCTTTGATGGTGGTCCAGGACCAGAAACCCTCTGGTGGTGGCCCAGGACCCAGAAACCCACTGATGGTCGGACCCAGAAACCCGTGGGGCCGACCCAGAAACCACTGATGGTGGTCCAGGACCCAGAAACCCTCTGATGGTGGCCCAGGACCCAGAAACCCTCTGATGGTGGCCCAGGACCCAGAAACCCACTGATGGTGGCCCAGGACCCAGAAACCCACTGATGGTGGCCCAGGACCCAGAAACCCACTGATGGTGGCCAAGGACCCAGAAACCCTCTGATGGTGGCCCAGGACCCAGAAACCCTCTGATGGTGGCCCAGGACCCAGAAACCCTCTGATGGTGGCCAGGACCCAGAAACCCTCTGATGGTGGCCAGGACCCAGAAACCCTCTGATGGTGGCCCAGGACCCAGAAACCAACTGATGGTGGCCCAGGACCCAGAAACCCTCTGATGGAGGCCCAGGACCCAGAAAACCTCTGATGGAGGCCAGGACCCAGAAACCCTTTTGGTGGCCAGGACCCAGAAACCCTCTGATGGTGGCCCAGGACCCAGAAACCCTCTGATGGTGGCCCAGGACCCAGAAACCCTCTGATGGTGGCCCAGGACCCAGAAACCCTCTGATGGTGGCCACCCAGACCCCAGATTAGACCAAAACCCTCTGATGGTGGCCAGGACCCAGAAACCCTCTGATGGTGGCCCAGGACCCAGAAACAAACTGATGGTGGCCCAGGACCCAGAAACCCTCTGATGGAGGCCCAGGACCCAGAAACCCTCTGATGGAGGCCCAGGACCCAGAAACCCTCTGGTGGTGGTCCAGGACCCAGAAACCCTCTGATGGTGGTCCAGGACCCAGAAACCCTCTGATGGTGGTCCAGGACCCAGAAACCCTCTGATGGTGGTCCAGGACCCAGAAACCCTCTGTGGTGGTCCGGGCCCCAGAAACCCTCTGATGGTGGTCCAGGACCCAGAAACCCTCTGATGGTGGTCCGGGACCCAGAAACCCTCTGATGGTGGTCCAGGACCCAGAAACCCTCTGATGGTGGTCCAGGACCCAGAAACCCTCTGATGGTGGTCCAGGACCCAGAAACCCTCTGATGGTGGTCCAGGACCCAGAAACCCTCTGATGGGGGTGGTCCCAGGACCCAGAAACCCTCTGATGGTGGTCCAGGACCCAGAAACCCTCTGATGGTGGTCCAGGACCCAGAAACCCTCTGATGGTGGTCCAGGACCCAGAAACCCTCTGATGGTGGTCCAGGACCCAGAAACCCTCTGATAGTGGTTGTTGCATCCCCTGAATGGGTCACAATGTATATGATGTATATTATGTATATGTATATAATGTATATTACCTTTTCATATAATTTTATATTGCTTATATTTGCGATAATAGCTAAATTGTAAATATATTGCTTTATGTTATTATTTGACTTAGTTATGTTGTTAGGTAGGATGTAACCTTCATATATTATTATTATGTGCTCATAGTTAAAGTCTTGATTGGCTGACTACAGTAATTATTGCTCGTGGCTCGTTATTCTGCCGGCTTCGGTGTTACTGTGCAGCAACTGTCCACGGAGCTATCACGTGATCGAGGGGGGGTGTTCTCTCCTCGCCTGAAGTATTCAGTCTGGTCTAGACTCGCTTGGTGTTTGGACGTATTCCAGACAAGAAGTGCCTAAATCTCCCTTATTGGCCCTTGTTGGAAGATCGTCTCTGTCTCATTGTTGTTGTAGGTTCTGTGGGACTCTGTTCACAGAACATTGTATAGACTTAGTGATTTTCAACATTGTACTGAGGTTGTGTGTCACATAGACACTGAGCAACTCAGGTCCTGAGCTGTAGCTTCTGACCTAACTTGTACTGGTATCTGTGTATTATCACAGTCGGGGATTTTCTTATGCTGAACTTAGATTCAGTAGTATGGGAGTTTTGTGACTTTTGTGGAGGATCTGCTGATGGTCCCTACTTAGTGTCGTTATATTATCTCCTTGTTCCTGATTCTGTGTCGCAGTTGCTTGTTATATTGTTGTTCGGCTTATCAGTCGTTTTATTGTTCAAGCAAGCTGTTCTGATTGCCAGGTGGTCAAGAAGTTAGTTTATGTGAGGACTTTGTCAGTCACTTGTTTAAGTCTAGTCGAGTCGTGAGACATAGTGAACTACTTAGAGCACTTACACACATACACACAAACTTATTTGTATATTGTATTAAATGCTAATGTACCAGACGGTACTAAAGATGTATAGATGTGATATGTGCTTTCGGCACAATACTACTGTACATGAGAGAAGCGATTAATATTATTTTGATTACTGTGATTAATTTAATTTGATATACGCCTAGACAACTTAATTAATAAATTTATTAAATTTTAATTTCTCTAGTTAGTAGCCTACCAGTTGTAATCCTGAAGCACTAATAATTCTTATTGAATTCTAATGGATAATTGGACAAGGATACTGACTAATTGTTACGAAAACCCAGTAACAGGCGGTAACAGGTGGT